AATAGAATAAAAGTCTTCGTGGTCTTATTTATGGTTTATTCTCCACTGTTCACCCCTTGTTTTCTTGTCTATTTGAAATCCCATTTTGTATGTGACCATTTTGTACTGGGAAAGTCAAAACCATAAGGGTCTTTAAATAGTTGAAGACACCACAGGTGATAAATATGTATTTTTCTCTACATTTAATAAACCCCTCAACAAATATTTTTTCAGAGCATGTGGCATTTTTGAAATGCCTTCTGTGTACCAAGTACCTTGCAAGGCACCTACACATTGGCTATATTTTCAGTGGAAAAGTGCAGTAAATTATTAGATAGCCTTAAGGTTTCCTTTTTGTTAGCTCATTATTTTTATTTTATATTTAGTCTCTGATTGTTTGTTTTTATATGCCATTTTATAGCTAAATACAAGAATTTTTGCCTATTTCTAAATGTTTTCTATATCTGGCCTTATGTGGTGAGGACTTTTTTCAGTGTATCTTTGAGGCTTCTCTATGGCTCACAACATAGTTGGTGTTCAAAATCATCTGTAGTATGTCTACTTTGACTTGTGTACCCTCTCTGCTAGAAATGCAGGAAAGTATAAAATATTGTGGTGAAGAGCAAGGTTTTTGGTTGTACAGACCTGGGTTCAGTACTGTCTGCCCTTCAGGAGCCCTGTAATCTTGGCTATGTTGTTTATATACTCTGCACTACCATTTCCTTGTCCATAATAGGGAGCTGATGATAATGCTTCCCTTATGGAGGATTAGGGATGATTAGGACTCATGGGATGCTTGTAAAATATATGGCAAGTTGCCAGGCATAGTATAGGTCCTTAATAGGTGATAGCTAATATTACTTTTTTTATTTTAGGGAAATTAAAATTAAAAAGGAAGTCTACACTTTTGTGTTTTGTTATAGTTCTCAGTCCATTTTGTTACTTTAAGAAAGTGTATCTCAAGGTGTTGTATTTACAGATGTTATGCTTATAGATATAGTTAGGGTTGAGTTATACATAAGTTATTGATCCTTACTACTTTAAACTTTTTCAAAACAATCATATTCTCTGCTTATCTTTACTGATTTCACTAGTATTTTTCTTTGTTTCTATCAGGGAAACTTTTTTTTTTTTTTCTTGGACTGGTAAGGGGATCGCAACATTCTGCACGGTGTGGTTGCACCACGCTCAGCCAGTGAGCACACCGGCCGTCCCTATATAGTATCCGAACCCACAGCCTCGGTGGTACCAGCACCGCACTCTCCCGAGTGAGCCACGGGGCCGGCCCAGGGAAACTTTAAATCAACTACTTCAGACTACTCCAAAACATTTGTGGGCCTTTTATTTATTTATTTATTTATTTATTTATTTATTTATTTATTTATTTATTTATTTATTTATTTTGGTCCTTTTTTTGAGACCGGCCGCACCGTGCTTAGCCAGTGAGCGCTGTGAGCGCACTGGTCATCCCTATATAGGATGACCTATATAGCCAGTGCGCTGCTGTGCTCCCAGCGCCGCACTCTCCTGAGTGCGCCATAGGCTCGGCCCTTGTGGGCCTTTTAAAGATGGAGATGGAGAAGTCGGTTCTGTTTAATGTGGAGGTAGCGCTATTCATCAAGGAAGAATTAATAAGCAAGATAGGGAAATATACCACCTGACATCTATGCAACCCTTACAGAAACCTTGTAGATACACAGTAAGCATTATTGTCTGTTTTATGAATGGGAGAAATAAAGTTTTGGTGAAGTTTAAGCAGCTTCCCTGAATTCACACATATAATTAGTGACTAAACCAACGTTCTAAGCTAGATCTTCTTATTCCAAATCCAGTATGTTTCCTAGGTACAACTCACCTTTGTTTTTACCTTCTCTGAATCAGCTCTTCAGGGTGCGCTTGAATATTTTGTTTATAAAGCATAAACATGCTTTATTTCAAATATAGATAGATGCCAAAACTCAGGGGTTTTTTTTCTCTCATGTCACTGGCCTGCTTTGAAAGAATAAACATTGGAGAAGGAACAATATTGCAGATTAGTTGTTTATGTTCAACAAAAGTTTACTATAAAAATCAAAATTAAATTCTTATTCTACCAGGTCCCTGCTATTTTGTTTTTAAACCAGCTTGTATAATTCTCTTTTACCTACTGTAAATTGGGTGTAGTTATTTCAAGGGAGATTTAATACTTAGCATATGCTACGGTTTTTCCTTAGTAAATTATAGATGGCCTTACCTGAAGGCAGGGGACTCATATGTATTTGCTGTTATATCCTTAATGCCAATGCCAGACATAGTCTCTATATATCCAGCGTTTAGTAGATGCTCAGGAAATGTTTATTGCATGAGGCAATTGGGTGGATGGATGAATGAAAGAAAGAATGATAGCTTCTTTGTTCATTTTGCCAGTAGAATATTAATGCATTATTTGGCTACCCTTATGTATTTTACAGCTTCTCTTAACTTCAAAAGTTCTATCAAGTTGTAATAACATAGGATTGTTGCTCTGGTCCTTCCAAATAAATACCTATCTATCAGACTATTCTAAAGAATGGGTATACTGACCTTCCAGGCTGATTAAAACTAAGTAATAATACTATCTAACTTTACCGTTTATGATGATATTTGCATCCATTATGTCATTCGATTTTCAAAAAAAATGGCTTTTCAAAACAAAGACTTGTATTAGAGTACAGACCCTGCAACTAGACTTCTGAGTTTAAAATACCTGCTACCACTGCGCTAGTGCGCCGCTTGGGAAGCGCGGAGGCACTCCTGCCGAGGGTTCGGATCCCACATACAGACCGGTTCCCGCTCACTGGCTGAGCGAGGCGCGGGGGCAATGCCGAGGGTTGCGATCCCATTGCCGGTCCTGGTCCGGTACGGGGGCAACACTGAGGGTTGCGATCCGTTGCCGGACACGGAAAAAGACAAAAAATAAAAAAATAAAAAATAAAATAAAATAAAATACCTGCTACACCACAGATTTACTGTGTGACTTGGGTAGGTGACTTAAATTCTCAAAGTATCAATTTTCACATCTGTAAAACAGGGATAATAATTACACCTTTATATAAGATTGTCATAGAAATTAAACAAGATAATGTAGGTAAAGTTCTTAGCATGGGGTCTGGCATAGAAAGCCTTCAATAATTTATTGTCATCTTAGTGGTAGTAATACTAATAGCTGTTTGATGTTACACATGCACCTTCTATGCTTTTAATTTCTTCAGAGCGAGGTCTCTGTTTTGTTCATCTCTACATCCTCTCCTGGTTTACAGCCTGTCATGAATTAGGTATTCAACAAATAATTATCGAATTGAATGAGATAGGCAAATAATTTTTTTTAATCAGAAAGTTGTTTTACAAATGACTAAATTTAAGCTCACAGAAGTTATCTGAACAGGTTTTGAACAGCTGCTGTAAATAAGTCACAGAGATTATGTCATTTAATCTTCAGGCACCTTTATGAAAGGTTCAGAGGTGGTCCCAGGATTCAATTCCACATCTTTGAGTCCTGCCTGAGTCCAGAACCCTTTTTACAAAACTCTGCTGCCTCTCTTACAAAATATATAAGAATTCTTCCTTGGTCGGTTATTAATGTGTAATCATTATAGCATTTGAGAAAATAACTTTCTGAATTATAAGATGAATTGCTTATCTAGGTTTTATTTACTTGTTAGATTTCAAAGAAAATTGTACATGAAAACATTATACCATTCTTCATATCCTAGATTTTGAATTTCTAGAAAAAAAGGACAACAGGTAACTGAATGTGAATGTAAAAAAATGAACAAATAAGAGAAGAAGTGTCTGAACAGATAGAGAAAGGGTAGGATAAGTGAGTGCTTTACAAATGAAAGCAGATGTATGAAATTACAAGCTGTCAGATCAGCAATGGAAATGAAGATGATAAAGTGGTTCCTTACATAGATTCTAATTATTCATTTTGCCCAGTCCTTTATCCTTTTCCCATAGTGCTCATGGTATAGGGGAGGGGATAGGAAGCTATAGCAAGAAATGGTATTTCCAACAGCAGAAAGGAAAAAAATCCTAAGAGTCAAGAGTATTTATGATTACGAATAGTTGTTTATTTTGTGACTTGTGTTGTTTCTCTTGAGTCTCAGTTTATTCTTATGTAACATTTTTCAAGTAACTGATTCAAGTAAAGGATTCAGTTGTAGTCACAGCAAGTTGTAACTGTGAAGTTTCTTCACAATCAGTCCTATGGAGGCAGTCATTGTGGCTCACAAAACAAGCATCGTTAATGGGCCCAACTGTGACAGCAGTGGCAGATAGGTTGCCAAGAAATAAAGTAGTTTACATAGACCTGCCTGAAAAGATGTGTTTAGTAATTGCGCCCATAATTAGGTTGATTTGAAAAAAAAATTAAATGACAGTCTGCAGAACCCAGTTAGACTCATCTATGAAGATTGTGACATTTTTCCTCCAAGAAATGCTGCATAGATATTCTCTCCCTAAATTTCTTGTTACTTTAGAGAAATGAGTAATTGGAAAGTATTATATTTTCCTTAATTTTGAATTATGTAATATTTATATATACAAAGGAATAAATGTAACATGTAAGTTATGAAGCATAATAATCAAGGTAAATATTATTTTATGAGAGTTGTAAACTGGTTCTTTCCCATTCATAAGGTTTTTGTTACTAATTTCTAAACAGCAAACTGGAGACATTTAAACACAGCCATGTAAATGGCAATAAATATGCATGCTTCTGAGAATTTATTTATATTGCAAATACACACACATATCTGTATCTGAAGCTCTTCCTTCCAACTCACCCTGAGGATAAGTGCTAGTATATTAGATTGCAGTTAACAATACAGTATGCTGCTTCAAAGGTCGTTTCGTAAGGATCCCTTCTCCCTACTTCCTTTTATCAGATCAGTTGAGTTATTTGTTTGCTTTCTTTGACTGTAAGTTGTTAGCTTTTATATTTTTATTTATGCAGAATATCTTAAATAGTATTGCATCTAAATTATTTTTTCTCTCTTACTTAGTGATCTCTAGTAACTACCAGACCTGTCTCGGCCTTCTGATGCATTACCCACTCATTGGAGATGTACACTCACTGATTCTTAAGGCTCTGTTCCTTAGAGACCCAAAGGTAAGCTTTCCCAGTAGGACATGCACAATTTTAAGTTGGATGAAAAGTAGCCTTCTCTGCATGAGTGTAAGAATTCCTAATGTGGAATTTGCCTAATAGCAGATGAATTGCCTAATGATAGAATTTGCCTACAGTCGTAAGCCAAAACTCACATACCTCGTTGGCCAGCAATTCAGCAGGCAAATTAAGTGAACACTACCATTAGAAACTGGAGCACACATCTCTTGTTCCTCAGAAGGTTGTTCTGCCTTCTTGCCTTCCTCCTAACTCAAGGAATAGTTGAGCTACTGCCTCTCTTTATAGCAAAACTTCATTATTATTGGTATCCCCCACAGGGGAAGACTTATGCACGTATAGCCTCAGGAGCCATATGAAGATTAAGAAAGTAGATCTATACAAAGGACCACTTCTATAAGAGTTTATGATATAATGAAACACTGAATTATTTCATATTATGAACCTGTGTTTTTGTGTGTGTGGCTTAAGAGTAGCCTAATAAAATAAAGATTTAAACAAACTTTAACACTGATTTCTCTATTCGAGCGTAAAGCAATTCACCAAAATTTTCTTTACACTTCAGAGAAAAAGTGTGCTCTTTTACAACTAATGTTATATTTCTTGAAAATAAGAACATTTAATGATCTAAAAAAATCTGTGAATCCTTGCTACTTTTGAGCCAAACAAAAATATTGGATGAAATATGAGAGAGAAAGCTTCAAACACGAGTATCTTAGAATGCCAGGCACTGGATGGTAATCCCAGCCTTTGGCACTTTGGCAATCCTCCCAACAGTCATGTTGGCAGTTGTTGAACTGTCTCTGAGTCAGTCAGTCTGTCTGTGGATTCCATTGCCAAAGCTCTGTCTGATCAACTTGGGCCTCCAAGTCTAATGTAAATTTTGATTCTGAAGGATTTCTGCCCTTTCCTTGGGTGTTGACTTCAACCTTTGAGTATATCCTCTATTTTTTGTTTGACGTAAAAGAATGTATTACTTTTGTACCTATATCTATTTTCTGTAGAAATAGGAACTTTTATATCATTTTTGTTACACAAAGCAATTTCATTAAGCATCAGAAATATAATCCATCTTTTCTCTGACGCTTTTCTGGTAATGCTTATGTGTCTGACTATGAAAATCTAAGTTCCATATTTACATTTTTATGTACATACATATATGTGAATTATGTGAGAATATACTCTTTTACCAAAAATAACCCTCCCAGATGATGAAATATCTATAAAAGAGGAATAAAGAATGAGGTTGCTGGTCAATGAGGTATGAGTTTTGATCTACAAACTTAAGGCAAATTCTGTCAGCTCAGAAGTGGGAATTCTTAGAGTCATATAGAGTAGGAAAAAAATCTCTAAAATAGCTATTTGAATTTTCTGATTGTATGGTTTGTTTGGTTTAATAGAAGGAAGAAATGAATATGTTATCAAACCTATTGATCTTGGTAATTTTTCCCTGGCTGAATGTGGTTGATTTTCCAATGAATCACTCACTGATCTAGTTTCAAAATTCTGTATACTAAGTCCATCAGTGTTTATTAGTGGAATCTAAATGCTCTTTTAATGTTAGTGTGACTTCAGTAGTGTACTTTTTACTTCATAAAGCAGTGTACATAATACAGGAGTGTAATGAAGCAATTCTGCAAGCATTAAAAATATAGATTCTTTAAGATTTAAGAGAAAAAAGTAATAGCATAAGTCTAAAAAAGGAAATTCCTCACCTGTATGTTCATATTCTTACCAGCTAAAAACATGATCAGGATAATGATCCAAAATGTAGGACTTTAAACTGATATTTCTGATACAAAGAAATTGGGGAGAATTGGGAGTTGTGTTTAAAAGGTTTATGAAAACAAGTTCCTAGAATGAAGATATCTACATGAAAAGTAAAGAAAGCTGTGTATCCTTAAGAGGCTTTCAGAGGTCTAACCCAGCAAAGTAGTAGTTATAGCTGAGTGTATATAATGGTTGACCCACCCACTAATATTTGGTAAATTTCAAGTAATAATTACTGTCACTTGACACATGCACTAATGTAGGTCTGTGACAGTGTAGAGTTCTGCAAGGAGCCTGAGTTAGGAATTGGGGCCCTGGGTCAAGCCTTGGCTCTGCTGCCAGCCATCCTCTTTGACTTTTGGGGAAGTCATGCTTGCTGAGCCTTGGTCTTCTCTTTTGTAACATTTGGAGGTTGAATTAAATTTTCTCTGATGACCCATCCAACCATAGCATCCTTTATCTATAAAGAACTGACTTCTAACAAACTGAACTAACAAGATCCAATTCAGTACTACAGAGGTACAAGTGAAAAAAACAGCAAATTTATGTATGTTATAGAAACCCACAAGTGGACAGAGTTTTCAATGTAGTTAATGTAAATTATAAAGTCATAACAAAGGCCTTTTATGCTGAAAGGAAAAAGGAGAGGGAAAGGTAATGCTAGTACCCCTACCCATATCCTCTAAAAACACAGACATCAGAGTGCTTTAAATGTTTTCTATTTAGTAGCAACAATGAAACACTTAAAATACTTGAATCATTCTTGATTCAGGTAGATCAGAATAAGTATATAAGCACACAAGTCTCAGTGAAGTGAACTAGTAAAAAGATGAGATTTGAGGCATGAAGGCATACTTTCTCACCCAGCTTCATGTAGCAGCAGTGTTGAGTGCTGCTGACAGATTCAAAAAAGTAGAAATAAACCAAGAACTCTGAGGCTTAGTAAGTTTATCATCAGCCTTCAGAAAAGCACTTTGTCCTACCATCATCCCTAAATACCAGTAGAGATTGCTCATTTGAGAATAGATTCTGCAAGTAGAGATACCAAGCTCTAATTGTTTTATATCAAAGGTAGGCTTTAATGTGGAAAGATTTCTCATTTGGACAGCCTGAAATAATGGGCCTGTGAACTGTAATAATAGGATCATACTCCTTACAAACACTTTGATATGCTAAATTTGGTCCTCACAACAACCCTATGAGTTAGGCAGAGTAAGTTATCTTTCCTCACTCTTTTTTGAGTTGAGAGTTTAAGGTTATGTTGCTTTCCTAAAGTCAGTAAGCTTGTAAGCTACCAAGTTAGCTATAGTAGCTTCGTGACCCTTGTAGGTACTCATTCCGTCCTCAGACACCTGGCATCTATTCTACCGTCTCCATAAAACCATTCCCAAGTTCAGAAAGGACATGTCCTCCCCTTTGAGTCCCCATTGCACCTTGTATTTTATCTATATACATATGTATTTTGTCAGTTATTTCTCCTTAGGACTGGATCCTGCTTAATTTTTAGCACTTAGCTGTGTGTCCTGCATGTGCTTGGTATTAAGAAAATAATAATAGAATTGAATTCTGATTCAAATGCTATGCCTCTTTCCAGTACAACACACTGACATCAGTCTAGGTGGACCTCACTCACCTAGCATATCTCTGGAATGTCAACATTCCACAAAGGACATAGCCAGTCGTGTATTTTTTAGCTACCATTTTTATCAAGATGGTGACTTACCCTACAACTTGAATTTAAAGAGCATCTAGTTCCTTAATTTGCTGTGTGTCAAAATTATTTAAAAACCTATTACCACCTTCAAATATTATGGAATAAAAAAGACACAGCAAAGAATCTAGATAATATACTTTAGTAAGACTATCAGAATTTCAGAACTGCAAAGAATCTGGGCAGTCTAATCCAGCTTCCTCCTTTCATAGATGAACAAATTGAGAATCAAGGTGAAGCTTAGAGACTTATTCAAGGTCATATAGCTTGTCAGTGGCATAGCCAGCAATTGAACCCAGGTCTTCAGACCACCTTTCCACGTAAGAGCTGAAGCTTCATTAGTTTTAAAAATAGTGGAATCTTACTTACATATTTCACACATAAATTCTTCTATTTGTAATAGACATTTATTTGTGCCTGTAGTAAATGAAACTGCCATGTATGTAAGTGGCCCAAGAACTATTTGAAATTTTGAAAATGTATGCTTTATGAAGAGACCGAATGTCAAATATCTGTTTGTAGCATCCTGTACTCTGCACACTGTAAGTAGTTTCTATACTTAGCTCTTCAGACCATGATCCTAATTCTCCTTTTCTTGTCTTTATCATGTTGGAACTACTGAGCAGATTTTCAAAAACAATCCACTAAATGAAGTTGAAGGAATAGAAGGAGGACAGTCTAAAAAATATGAAGTGATTAAAAAACGTTGTTGTAGCTAGTTGTTCAAATTCAAAAAAAAAAAAATTTAAAACCCAATTAGAAACAAAAGTCATAGAAAATGTGAACATATTGTGTTCCGTAAATAACCAGATGTTCTCTCCTTCCTGAAGGCAGTAAGGGCTAGGAATAAAGGTTTAAAACTATTGTTTTAAGTTAACTGTGAATTTTGCAAATCTGTTTTTACCCTTTAGCAAATAAAAGTCTAATACAGAAACATAAGCAAAGTAATTTTCATTTTTTGGTGCTCTCTTATTTGTGTTGTGTGTTGAAGTGTTAACCTTATCACAAAGACTTATTACAAATGAAATACAGTACATGGATTACCACTTCAGATTATGCAGTAAGAACTTGACAGCTACTGTTTGTTTTGAAGAGTAGAATATTCGGGAAAAAATTTTTCTGATAAGTTTGCAAGCAACCCTTTAAGCAGTGACTGTTATTGTTAATGGAAGAAAATTACTAGAAACAAGACAATTTAATTTCATAGTCATTCTTGTATATAGAAACACAGTATAAAAATATGTACAATGTTCTTATGCTTGGCCAATTCTGATTTGTTTTTTGTTTGGGGTTGTACTAAATTTTGCCTTTTTAAATTATAAAACGTCTGAATTTCAAATTTCAGCCTTTATGCAGGTAATTAAATTTTTACTCGTTTAATTCTCAGAATAACCCACTGTACCTGCAACTTTTTTGTCAATGTCAGATAACTTTGGTAAAATGTCATATATCAAAATTGGAAAGTAATGAATGGATTCAAGCCCACTACCAGTCAGGTGACAAT